CGCGAGTAGATATTGTTCTTTTTAGGCTTTCCGTTAAGGAATGCTTCATTTCTACACCCTCATAAGGAATGCTTCGTTTCCGTCTCCAATCGATGTAAGATCTCACAATCCACCCCCTTGAGGGTCCGAGTCCTTGCTAGCATACGGCTCGGTGTCTGGCTCTGATACCATTTGTAACTGCCCAAGCCCTAGTAGCTAGCAGATATTTGGGCTTTCCTTTTCAGGCTTTCCCTTAAGATTTTAAAACGCGTCTACTAGGGAGAGGTTTCCACACCCTTATAAGGAATGTTTCGTTCCCCTCTCCAATCGATGTGAGATCCCTATGATCAAATAAAATCGAATAGCATCTCAAAGGAAAAGCAAGGCTGAAATTAAAATTTTATAATATAGACTAAATAAGAAGGCATACCTCTAGCCACAGGCAAAAACCAGTAGACAATAAGCCTGTGTACAGAGCAGGTACCCAAGGAAACATGAACACCCAATCTGAATACGTTTTCCAATTCCACGACTCACTAATTGTTTCCGTTCCATCAATCCATCTCCAAATAAAGTACCACAGCATCGATAGAATAGAAACAACGCAAACCTGAAAAAGTAATTAAAATCATTCGAACTATACAGCAAAACTAACACCATTGCCACCCCCCCCCCCCCCCCCCCCCCCCCCCCCCCCCCCCCCCCCCCCCCCCCCCCCCCCCCCCCCCCCCCCCCCCCCCCCCCCCCCCCCCCCCCCCCTCTCTAAATATGAGAAAATATTAACTTCATATGCAAGGAGTGATACTAATTTATCCTTTTCTGTACGCCTTGAAATATGCTCTGTTCTAAGCATATGCACACCAAAAAATATTGCACTCAAGAAGTTCAAAAGATCTCCCACCTGAAATAAATCAGAAGAACTAGTTGAATGTGGTGTTTATACATACATCAAAATCTCAAATTGAAAGCATTCAGAAATTTAAAAAACTGCTGATTAGATTACATTCTGCCAATAATCACAATAATTTTGAGAATAAACATACACATGGAGGGGATCCACTAGATTCAAGCATTGCAACCCCAATGACTGACATGAGAACTCCAAACCAGGTACGAGCAGGAACTACAGCACCTAAAACTCCATCAAGTATTGGAACTACAAGTACCTGATTATTGATACACAAGAACATTAACACACAATATTATAGCAAGAACATTAACACACAATATTATAGCAAGAACATTAACACAACATAGAATTCAGAATATTACCGTGAGCATTGATATAAAGGATGCTCGCCCGGCATCAGATGTAAGCAGTCCAAATGCCTGCATCAGGTACCCCAGACTAACCCAGAAACCTAACTCTATTCCAGCATTGCGAGTCTCAACATCATCCCATTTATACAATACAAGTGGAACGAATGGAATAGCAGTTATGGCAAACCGCACAGCATTGAAGGTTGCTGGATCCACTAATTCTTCAACCTCTTTCACAACTGGAATACTGCTAGCTACAGCAGCAATGATTTGAAGATATGGAACAGTATTTTAGTTGAAGATCTTAATGAAATTCCTATTATATGAAAAGGAAAAAAACTTCAAGACTTTTGTAGCTAGCACTTTTAATAGTAGAAAAAATTTGTATATTATGGCAAAGTTTCTGCTGAACCACATGTGATTGAGTACTAATTCCGCTTCAGCATACACAAATCTTACATATCTACTCCACATTCTTACGATTAATTCAGAATATCAACAATTGATCTAATAGAAAAGGGGCGGTGTTAAGGAGAAGCTCACCATAAACAATCGTGACGATGTTGAGCAAAATGATACTCCTAACTTTCTTCGAGGCAAAAAAGATCCTTCGCCAAAGAGAACGTTTATCAAATAAGGATACCAGAGAGAGAATCACACTGTTACGCCGTCGAATCGAAGTAGAAGAGATCCGAACAAGCTCATGCCCTTGGCAATCTCCGAGAACGACGGATTTCGAAATCCGAGCATCAGAATTTGTAGATTTCGGCCGCGGCAAATTGGAGTTATGAGCACAAACAGCGCAACGACGAGTTGAGGAATCATTCACCCGAGATCGTTTGCAGAAATAGAAGATGAAATTCGATGAGGAGGTTAGGGAAATGGAAGATTTTAGCTTGATTGGAGCAGTTTGAAGAGATGAACTCCATTGATGTGAAGCTCCCATAGCTCACTCCGATCGGAACAGCATATTATTCCAGTTCCTGTGTACCAATTTTGTTGGATTTCACTCGTTACGGAAATAATGGCCATGTTCTTACTGCTGAGCTTCAATTGCCTGCGACAGATCCGTCTCTTCTCGAGAAGCCAATTGTTTAACGGCACGTTCACAAAATTGCATCCATAATGCTACAAAGGAATTTTGGATGATACAAAATTTTCTATTTTCTTTTCTTTTCTCGGATAAAAAATGTAAAGCAATGATTTTTTTTTTTTTTTTTTTTTGACTAAACTAATAAAAAAGCCTAAAATTTGTCTAAAAAATATTTGATTTTAGATTAAAAAAATTATTTAAAAAAAATCATTATTAAGCTTTAATTTTTTTTAAAAAAAGTTAAAAAATAATCAACAAAAATAAGTTCAGACTATATTTAAAAATAACAATAACATTGACATATTTTAATTTTATAGACGAAAGTTTTAATAAAATTTTATCAACAAAAATCTTCGTTGGTATTTCATAGATTATCTCTAAATTCTTTAACATTACTTTTAAAAATTTAGAGTATTTTTCAAAAGTGATACTAACTTTAAGGTATTTTTTAATTTTTAAAAAATAAATAAAAAGTATTTTTAAAACATTTTTTAAAATTTAAAAGGGTATGTTAAATATTTTTTAAACAAAATTTTAATGTTCCATCTACATGGTAATAGTGTTTTTGAATTTTTTTAAAAAAATTTAAAAATATTTTTAGATTATATAGAAGTTTAAGGTGTCATTTGAAATTAATGGTATTTAAAAAAAATTATCATCTACTATTAGTTAATTTGTTCGAGGATTTTATTCTTAAATAGATTTAAAATCTAAAAATTTAATGAATGAAAGTTAAAATTGTTTTTATTAATTTAATTTAATAAAAAATTAACTAATTAGCAACCATTAGTTTTTAAAATTTAGTAGTATAATAAAATTGTCTAAAACTATTTGCTAAAACAGAATAAAAATATGATTTTATTTATATAAAATTTACGTCAATTATAGTTAATTATTCTCATATCATAAATAAAATGACATGGAATGGAGAAACATTCCTTTAAAACAATTTCATAAAATAAATACAAAAGAAATATTTAAAGTAAATTAAAATAAAACGAATGAAAAATTATTTTTTGAAATTATTATTTTTTATTAAGTTATATAAAATAAACTTCAACTTTAGAATATATGTTTTCAATAATACAAAATAAGCTTATATCACGAAACCATATTTAAATTGGTCATTAGTTTGAAAAGTTGTGGATTTGGTCTATTAATCATTGAAAGTTTTTAAAAAATACAACTTATTTTATTTGTAATTTTCTAGAAAATAATATTTATTTTGTCGTTTCCAATTATTGTAATCTCCGTGGGGTACCGACTCTAAAAGTCTTATGTCCGGGAAAAACTTCGACCAAATCTTGTTGTTATATGAAACGTAGGTTAACTACTATATATTAAATTAATACTATACAAACAAATTTACTCAAAAGTTTTATGATATATTTAAACTTTTAAAGGGTTTTAAAAATAAATATTCACGAGTTTCATTAATACTTTTAATATTTTTTAAAATTTTAAAAAATATTTTTAAAATTTTTAAAAAATATTTTTATGATTCATTAAATGTTTGGAGATAATTTATGAGATGTTAATAGACAATTTTTGTTCATATATAGACAATAATAATTTTTTGATTTTTTTTTATAAAAGCAAGGGGTTAATGTTATTTTTAAAATTTTATAAAATTTTTAAAGTTTAAAATTACATTTTTAAGATAAAGTATAAAATATAAAGTTATTGGCATTTCTACTAATTTAGCTTATATTGTCAAAGATTATATCAACCAAAAATTAAAATAAAGTATAATAAATTATGATCGTGATCATAAAATATGTAATATAATAACCATGAAAAGATAATACCAAATCAAAAAGATATTGTCTATGATCAGGAACAAAGCATTAAATTTTCATTTAATTCTTGGATGAAATTAAAATTGTTTTAAAATAATGAATCTTTATGATGTGGGTACCTTTTAATATCAAGCTGTAATTTCAAATCTACAATAAACAAAACTCGATCGCAGATAATTTTAATCGTGACTCTAAAAAATCAACAAAACAATAGTCGATAAGTAATTCAACTATGTCAAGTCGAAGTTTGTCGGTTGAATTGTCCAAGCTAAGGTATACATTAAATGATAGATGATGTGATGGAGATCGAATATGTTGATATTCTATAATATGATGAATGAAGACACGTGTCAGATGAGTGATGGACAATTAGCATATGGTAAAACTATTATCTACCCACTCTCCATTGTGCTAAGTGTATTGTAGCAGTCCAAGCCTACTGCTAGTAAATATTATCTGTTTTGTCTCGTTACATATCGTTATCGTCATCAATCTCACGATTTTAAAATGTATCTACTAAAGAGAGATTTCCACACCCTGATCATGAATGTTTCATTCTCCTCTCCAACCGTATATGATCTCACATATATATTCAGAGCCGACAAAGTAGTATTTAGAGTATTCCATGGTTGATTCTTAAGCGTGTTTATGTTAACCCTGATCGAGTCAGGATATTGTTCAATTTATAGCTATGATAATTGTGTTTGTTGTCGACCTTCGACTTTGACCATAGATCATTTGCGTTTGTTTGAGTATAACCAAGTAGATAAGGCACCGCTTACTATAATAAAAGTTGATAATTTGATCTTCCACAATTGATGTATTCAAAATACCCAAATAAAACATATTATTACTTAATCATCACTCATTTTACATACCGACCAACTTTAATTTATTTACTTTTCACTAGAACATAAAGCTTATCGAAATAGAAGAGTAAAGCAACAAACATACATCATCAGGCCTACAAACATAACTTGAAAATAGCATACAACTTTGAAACAACATATAGTTATGAAGCTCGAACCGACACACCAAAGCTTCTTATTTGAGGTGAGATTCAATATCCTTAGTAATGCCATTCATGAGATCAATATACTGATAAGGATAAGGAGAACCATCATCAAGTTTCTCATACTCAATTGTCAGAACCGCCAAACAATGGGTAGGACCCTTTGGCACAACTTGATACACCGGCTTGAAAGTTTTATAATGATTGAACACATCTCCTTCCAATCCAACCAGAACTACCGTGAATTTCTCGTCGTGAAATTCCACTCGCTCTTTAAAAACCTCAGACTTCCCGTCTTACAAATCAAACACAAAGAACAAACAAACAAAAAAAAAAATAGGGTTATTCAAGAAAATAAAGTAAAGTGATGGAGAGATATATGCATACCAACTGTGTAATGCCAGGTCTTGATAGAGCCATGGTCATGGCTATCCCAATCTCCATCATGAATTTCAACGTGCTGAATGATATTTGGGGTGATATTAGGAACATGAAAGCATTGATCCTTGAAGACTTTGTAATACTTCTCAGCAGGTGCGTTTATCTCTAGCTCGCTCACCAGTTTCCCGACCAGAGACATGGCTTCGATTCTTCCACTTGATTGCTTCACAGATGGCACACAATAATGCTTAATTTCATGTCCTATTTATACAAATCTCTACTCATAATTTATGAGTATATTATATTTATTATTTTGTATTATTTGTATGGTCGTAGATGACATCATACGTTAGAAATCACGACTCTCCACAATAATATAATATTATCCACTTTAAGCATAAGTTCTCGTGACTTTGTTTTGAACTTCTCAAAACATCTTATACCAATGGGGATAGTATTTTTCACTTCTAAACCTATAATCTTTCATTAAATTAACCAACGTGGACTCACTCTCAATAATCCTCACACTAAATACATGGCAAATTATATATAAATTTTACTTTTATTTTTTAATGAATATATATATATTTTGTGGGCTCCCTAAATCTTTGAAAATTTGTATCTCAACCGCTCTCAAATTTTTGAAATTTGTTTATAGGAAGGAGAAGACATGTTTCACGACATCAACTTTTCATTTAAGCGACAGTAGAAATATGAAGAACGTTATAACATCGGAGTTTCGACATGAACAAATTTCTAGACTTTTAATTTTTCGATATCAACAAGTAATAATGCAGGACGTTCACGCATAGCAAAAGTGTGTGTTATCCAGCGTGGGAGTCTCCTACTCTTACACGTGAAGACACGTGTGGGTGGATGCTCTAGTGGCACTGTTCACACTACTAGGAGCGTAGAGAGCTAATCTTAGGTACCGTGTGGGTTCCTACGATGTCCAAACATGGACTCTCAACAAACTGGGCCTTACAATGGGTTCAAGCTCTTTTGGGCTTTCTTAATATGGGAATCATGGGCTACAAACTGGGCCTTATAATGGGCCTTATATTACCGACTAAAATTGAATTGAAAATAAATTTGAGATATTTTTTTTTATTTTATATCTAAACGTAAAATATAAACTTAGTTAATAAATCTTTATTTTTGTTTGTATATATTTTAATAGGTTTTAAACAGTAAAAATATTATTTTTGTTTAATAATATTTAAAATGAATAAATCTGTCATTAATCTAATATCAAATAAATTATTAAATATTAAAATATGTGAAATAGAAAATATAGAATTTATCATATAGTTTTAAAAGTGGAAGGGTATAGTTATAGGCATATGAGGGAGTAATGTAGAATCCCTATCAGCCCACCCATAAACCCATAAATATAATTTGAACTACAAAGTACACTCATGATTGTCACTAGATTTTTGGCATTTTAAGTATTACAACCATATTTTATTAAATTATACCATTTAATTTCATTATCTTGTGACTTATTTTGGGCAACCCCACATTGATTTCATCTAAGATCTTCTCCTCATATCAAAAATATTATCTAATCATTCAACATCATGGATTGCCAAAATATGAACATCATTGTATTTAAACCAAAAAAAAAAAAAAAAAAAAAAAAAAAAAAAAACAGAAAAATGTTAATTTTCTAATCAAGTTCCAATCATATGTCATTATTATAATAATTTTATAATTAAAAGGGTTTGATTTATTTTAGTTTAAAGCGTGAATTGGAAAAAATATGAGAATACAAACGTGTATTTATATATATAATTAAGAAGTTCTTTAAAATTTTATAAATTGTTGGAAAATCAAGAAAAAAATAAGATATATTTAGTAAGAAATCTAATAAATAAACTATACGGAATGAAAATAAATTGTATTTCATGTTGTCACATACATTTGACAGAAATTTAAATACAAAATAATTTATTTATATTTAAATTATAATATTTTTTTTTGTATATTTAGAAAATAAATACATATTTGTGTATTATAAATTTTAATAGAATTTATCCATTGAAAATATAAAAAAAAAATGTGTTAAATGCATATTATCTAAATTAAATAAAAAAAATTCCAAAAATATAAAACAAAAGCTAAAAACACTTTGAGGAGTTCTCATAACTGTGTCGTCCTCCTCCGCCCAGTGAACATGAAAATAATTATTACGTCAGAAAATTAATAAATGAGAACACGTGTCAGGTTGTTGAGCGTTCCCTTTCCCTCTCCATCCTATCGTCTAATTTAATTTATTTTTCTTTTCCATTCAATTCCTTCACCATTTTTTTTCTCTCTCTCTCTCTCCATCTCTCGCGCGCGCACTCTCCATTTCTCTCTCTCTCTCTCTCTCTCTCTCTCTTGAATCATTACTACTGTCACCCAGCCAGTACGCATCCATAGCAATGGCCCCGTTTCTTCAATCTGTAATTATAAGTGCTGTAATTACTGTTCCTTTCCCTCCTCTCCCAATCTCATTTCTCAATCGAATCACCATTTTCTGATCCACCTACAGCTTCAACTCGGGGAAATGGAAAAGCGGGATTGTTGATTGGCGGAAGAGTTCATCGGTATTGCAGTGCGGAACTCGTCGGGTTGAGTAGGTGAGTGTGAGAAATTTGGATTTGTTGTTGTTGAAGTTGAGAAAATCGGTGTGTGTTTTTTGTTTAGTGGTTCGAGGATTTTGACTGCGTAAGGTTTTTTGTTTTCGTGTTTTGGAAGTTTGGTTTTGGGGGGATTTAATAATGCCTGCAGGTTTTGAATAAAGAATTGGATGCGAATCATGGGGAGGAGAGAAGAATCGTTTAATTTCTCGTCTGTGAGTTCACGTGAAGGTTTTGTCACGATGTCCGGGAGTTCCTACAAGTGAATGAGTGTCTACAGTCGGTGTTTTCCCGAGGGTATTGCCATTGGAGGGCATCTTGTTCTTAACTCCATGTCTACAGAAGGTAAGACTGTTTGCTATGCCAATGCGAATGAGCTGCAAGAGGTAGAGGACTGTGTTGTCTTTCCTTGTTTTAGTCAAAGATTTTTATGGCTCTGAAAAGGACTACAACTGGCGCCATTTTGAAGCCACAGTGTTGAGAAGAAAGGTTTCTGAGAGTTCAGGTTCCTACAGCGAGTAGATGAAAGAAAGGGGAATATTGCTTGCTCTAGAGATTTTTAGTCCATTTTTGCATCGCGGATTAGCTTTTGATTAGATTCTGGGCTTTTCTTGGTGATGCGAGAGGATCTATTTCAAGGTGATCTCTGCGATGAAACTGATGGTAATCAGGTACTCTCCATTCTTCTTCGTCTTCTTGTTCTGTGTAGTGCCTCTGGTTCGGGCTGGAGATGAAGAAGCTCTGTTAGCACTGAAAGAATCTCTCGACCCTGGGAACTCGCTTCCATGGCGAGGAAGCTCTGTCTGCCACTGGCAAGGCGTGAAAGAGTGCAAAAATGGGCGGGTAACTAAGCTTGTTTTGGAGCATCTAAATCTCTCTGGCGTTCTTAACCACAAGATTTTGAATCGTTTAGATCAGCTTCGTGTTCTCAGTTTCAAAGGAAATTCACTCTCTGGCCAAATCCCTGATCTCTCAGGTCTTGTTAATCTCAAATCCCTCTATCTTAACGACAACAACTTTTCCGGCGAGTTCCCGATCTCCATCTCCGATCTCCATCGCTTGAAGGTCGTTGTTCTTTCCGGTAATCAAATATCTGGCCCCATTCCAGACTCGCTGCTCAAACTCCGGCGTCTCTATGTCCTACACCTGCAGGACAACCAACTCACCGGCTCCATCCCACCTTTCAACCAAACCAGTCTCCGATTCTTCAATGTCTCTAACAATCACCTCTCCGGCGACATCCCAGAAACCCCCGCCTTGCTCCGCTTCAATGTCTCGTCATTTTCCGGCAACCTAGAACTTTGCGGAAAACAAGTTCAAAACCCCTGTGGAAATATTGCCATTGCGCCATCATTAAGTCCCTCTTATTCACAAATCCTGAGCTCAAGCTCGTCTTCAAGACACAAAAAAATGGTCAGGATAATAGCAGGAAGCGTTGGTGGGTTTGTCGGGCTGCTATTAATCATTCTTTTATTGTGTATGATTTGCAAATGTAGGGAAAGAGAGAGCCTAGCGGAAGTTAGAAACAAAGGAATCGGCGACGAGGGGATGGGGATGGGGATGGGGATGGAGGAAACATCTGGAACTGCCGGCGGAAGCAGAGAAGTTAATAACGGGGGAAAGCAAGGGGGATTTTCATGGGAAAGTGAAGGACTAGGGAGTCTAGTGTTCTGCGGAGCAGGGGATCAGAAAATGACTTATAGCTTGGAAGATCTGTTGAAAGCTTCGGCGGAGACTTTGGGCAGAGGGACCATCGGAAGCACATACAAGGCAGTGATGGAATCTGGGTATATTGTGACGGTGAAGCGGCTGAAGGATGCAAGGTACCCACGAGCAGAGGAATTCGGACGGCAGATGGAAGTGCTTGGGCGGCTCAGACACCCCAACTTGGTCCCTCTCAGGGCCTATTTCCAGGCTAAGGAGGAGCGCCTTCTCGTATACGATTATTTCCCCAATGGCAGTCTCTTCTCTCTCATCCACGGTAAGTGTCGGTCACCCTTTGCACTTTTTAATCATTTATTTGTTGAAATTTTGCTGAATATTTTCTGCCACACGAGTTGGGTTCTTGATACTGTAAAGTATATTACCGCTAGTAAAGTGTAAAGTTAGCATTCAATGATGTCTAGTTGAGAAATATGAATGCAAAGTGACAAAAAGAAAATGGTCTTCCGTACCCAACTTGATTTGATATTGTTATAAAGAATTGGTGATTGAAAGTAGGCCGAGTTAGAGGGTAGATAGCCAGGAGAGGATACCCTGGGAATTCATAAAAAAGCGTGGGGGACACACACTGGTAAAAGCTAACCTCGTGTCTTGCGGTAGACTTGGGCAAAAGCTAAAAGTTGAGCTTTAGATACACAGATCACATGGCTTTCCCCTTACTTCCCGCTCCCTCTCACCTCTTTTTGCCTGATTTGACCCTTTCTCCTCCAAGTCGTTTTTATCTTATGGGGCCCTTGTTTTGTTGACATGCTTTGTTCTTCATCCACCCCTTTCATGTTCTTTGTCTAGGAACACATTGCTGGATAGATGTTAAAGGATAATGAAAAGAAAGGATTAGATATGGGTGAAAGGTCCTAATCGTTGTGCTTTTGAGAATGATCGTGAAGATG